CGGCGAGAGAGGGAGCGGGCTAGTTGCATGTCCGACACTATGAATGCAACTGCAAGTGTCACACCCGACCGCAACTGCATGTGTTCTAGCCCGACCGCAACTGGACTTTTTTGTTCTGTCGGAGGGGGCGCCGGTAGAGGGGGTGGGCTAGTTGCAAGCCCGACCACATCCCCACAACCGACCACAACTGCATGTCCCCCAACATGGTAAAACCATCATTAAATAATGCTAAACATTTTTCTAATTTCATGATGAATATTTTTTAAATAATATTGTACATTTTCTAATGGCGCTCTAATTCTTTTTAATACATGATAAATATTTGTGAAAATGCATGAACATATTTTTATAAAAATATCACGACTAATGCTTACATTTTCTAGAAACAAGAATAATATAAATAAGAATGAAAGGGGAAAAATGAAAATTAAAACCGGATAAAATTGATAGTAACCACATGTTAATTTTTTGGCACGAACAACAAACTAATACATCCAGCCGGTGCACCACACATGGTCGATGGAGCAGCAGCACGAAACAAAAATACTGCCCAATCTCTGGCCCAGGGCAGCTCAAAAACATACAAAGCAAAGACAAACAGGGCAGCCCAAAAAGCAACCAGAGGCGACATGGTATGGGCTGGACAATAAAGCAAAAAAAAGAAAAAAAACAGGTGACGTCAGCCGACTGAGACTTCGCGAAGTCTAAGTCGACTGAGACCTAGACAAACCCTATTCAAAAGCACACCGATGTCGGTGTTTGGTTTTACAGTGTTACCACGATTTTGATTGTACTTTTCCGTTAGATAACTTGTTTCTCCTGACATATATGCAATGCCAGGTGATCTTTTACAATCTGCACCAGACAGGAGACTTGTGACGCCCGAATTATTAAGATACAGTGAACCTATGTTAATGATGCCACGTCACATCAGTTATTGATGATAATCTCGCGTTAGTTCAAAATGATTCAAATTCAAATTTGAATTAAAGTCAAACGATGAAAGTTTTCAAACATTAAAACTAAAATGTTCGGATGGTGCCAAATAATACGTAGGTAATTATGGTGAAGAAACCCCACTTCTGTAAGTTATTCAAATGCACTAAAATAAATAAAACAGCAGCTAAACCTATTATAAATGCCCCATTTGAAATTTATAAAAATGCGAACTAAATGTTTTAAATACCAAAATATATTGTGGTAGTGGGCCAATTTGCAACCTCCATTTAGGTACTGGCCTTATACTTTTACAAAACTAAAAGTTATTCAAACAATAATAG